CCCCCCCCCCCCCCCCCCCCAATAAAAGGGCCTTCCTGAACGCTGGGGCTACTTTTCTGTCCTCGGAGCACAGCCCTTGCAGCGTGCCAAATCCCCGGAAACCCCACGCCTTGCACAACGAGCTGCGCTTGCCCAGAGTGTTGTCAACCTAACAGCAGGGACAAAAGCGGGTTGCGCAGCTTGCCACGTACCTGTTTGCTGACAAGCAGGTGGTAGGCGTGTTGTATTGCTGTGCGTTTATGAAGCAGCAGCGACCGGAACTTCCTCTTTTCAATATCACTGAAAGTATCGAAAACGACCGCAAGCAGCTGAAGAACGCAGAGAAGAGGAGAAGTCAGGCTCCCGCCTCCCACTTTCAGTTCTGCACGGCACCAAGCTGCGGGAAAATGGCCTCCCCAGGTAGTTTCCCCCCCACCCCCTTAATTAGCAAGAAGCCACTGATGAATGGCACAGGCACTGGAATTCGGCTGCAGGAAGTGAAGAGGCAAGTTAAGTCGTCAGGGCAAGCTTGGGAAGCACATCTGTTGTAAAGGGAGTCTTCCGATTCCAGATGTGGCAGGATCTGGTGGGGGAAGGCTGGGGGTGGGGCGGTTGCTATCATATGTTAAGATACGCCTCTGGAAGTTGCATTAGCTTTCTCACAAAAATCCAAGTTTGTTAATTTCTGACACGAGCAGCTAAGAAACAAGAGCGCATTTCGCAGGAAAAGCGAATGGCTGCAGCAGCTAAGCAAGAGGCTAAAGGCTCTGCCAGACGTGGCGGGTATCTTTCCAACTAAAGCTGCACTGGACTGGGCCGTCTGGGGAGGAACCAGGTGACTTACCAAGTTCATAATGAAGTACAGTTCAATGGAAAGGTACACAATAAAGAAGATACAGGACCAAGGGCTCCGGGAATAAGAGGGCATCATCACATCTGGGAAGCTGCGGCACAGAAGAGAGAGAAACCATTTACAGCGGTACCTCGGCTCACGAACTTAATCCGTTCCAGGACTCTGGTCGGGACCCAAATTGGTCGTGAGCCAAGTCAAATTTCCCCATAAGGTTCAATGTAAATAAGGTTAATCTGTTCTGTAACCATTTTTTAAATCAGAAAAATGTGAAGCAAAGTGACAACAACAAAGATCGCAGCCACCTCCCCCACCCCCCAAGCACAAGCGGGGCCATCTCCCCACGCCCCCCCCAGCACGACCGAGATCCCGCCTGTCATCCCTGCAGGCGCCCGTCACCCCGGCGCACTGGAGGATTGGGGGGGAGATGGCCACAATCGCGGGCACACTGGGGGAGGGAGAGACGGGCGCAAACGCTGTGCTGGAGGGCGGGGAGAAGGCCGCGATCGCAGTTGCGTTCGTGCAGGGAAGGCATCCGTGATCAGAGGCGGCTCCTGCAGGAAAGACAGGCGGAATCTTGGCCATCTCCCCCGCGGCTCTGCTTTGCTGCCCCTGTCTTTCCTGTAGCAGATGCCTTCCCCGCACGAAAGCAACTGGGATCGCGGCCATCTCCCCACTTGGGGGGGGGGGGTGGGGGGAGATGGCTGCGATCCTGGTCTCCACCCAAAGTGGTGTTCGCGACCCAAGTCAAAATTTTTCAGAAATTTTTGTTCGTGACCCGATTTGTTCGTGAACCAAGGCGTTCGTGAGCCGAGGTACCACTGTATTTTCACAACTCGGGAGTATCCTTCCTTTCTAATGAGCTCGATAGACGGAAGGGCTTTTCATGGCACCGATCTAGAGCCAAACACTGGAAGGGTTCCTTTGCAAGGCAGGCTGAATGTTAAGCCTTCCGCAGGACATAGGTAAGCACAGAATAGATTGGGCAAGGTCTTGCAGTGTCTTTGCCTAACAGCAAGGCTGTTCGAAAACATTTTGCGGCCTGAGGCAAAAGGGGAGACGGCACGCCCTCTTTCTGCTGGACTGGCAGCAGAGTCTTTCTTCAGCACTGCTGACGGGACAGATCCTGTCCACCCCATTGGAGGGCAGCTGGGTAGCACAGCGGGTTCAGGGCAGGCCGAGTGGCCACAGCTCTCTCCCCTAACACTCTGGTGCCACCTCCCAGCACCTGCCGCCCAAGGCAGTGGCTCGCTCTGCCTCAGGGCAGGGCCAGCCCTGTCCAACACACCAAACCCATCTCACAGGAGTCCCAAGGGAGGCAGGACGGAGCATCACATTCCTGTTGTTACAGATTCTCTAAGGAAAACTGATCAGCATCAGCTATGGAGGCAGCCTGGGGGTCAATTTTCAGTTTTCATTCATTCAGAAAGAAGAAGTGGGAGCTGGTGCCACTCAAGAGTCCCCGTGCACTGAGAAGTCGCTGCAAGATGCAGATTCCCGCTTTACTTTCATCAACCTTCCTTTGGAAGCAGTGTCAACTTGATTGGAAATACAGCTTCAGCCCCATTGAGAGCTCTCAGCCTCGCTCTCCAAACAACATGCAAACATGGATTTATCGCACTTACACCATGCTCTTCCTCCCTTAAGGTACTACACCTGAGCTTACGGTGGGCTTCCGCCATTTGGCGGGCCACCCTCAAACCTGCCAATTTAAGGCATGTGCCCTCAGTCCGTCCTCTGGGCCTCTGCTCCCTTTTTTGAGGCAGCTCCAAATACTCCCAATGAGGCGTGAGCAATCTGTGACCCTCCAAGCATTCTGGCCTATAACATCCATCAGCCCCAGCCAGCGCAGCCAGTGACGAGGGATGATGGGAACTGCAGGCCAAAGCATCAGGAAAGCCACAAGTTGCCCACCCTGCTCCAGACCATTTCAGAGATCCAAGTTCAAAATTTCTGTATGTGTGTTTGAATGCACGCCCTGGGCCGGTTCAGCAGCTCCGAATGCCTTACCCCACACAGGCCACAATCTTAACTAGTGGTGTGTGAGGATTCTGGCTTGGGCGTAGGGATACGACTGACTTCCTGGGCTTGGCTCCCTGAACCTCAGTCCACACTGTCACAAGCAGGCTCAGCACCGACCCTTTAGCAAGCAGTTCTATCAGCCCGATTTCTGCTGTTTTCCTACCAAGCCCAAGCGCACATCCCTCGCCAGTGTGCTCATAGCAGGCTTCGCTTCTGAGTAAAGACGCACATTTAGTGTAAGGCTGACACTGGAAAGGTCACAACGGGAGCCTGTGTGGTTCCTGCAACTCGAGGGGCTTACTTTGCAGTCGTCAGAAGCACAAAGAGGTTCACAAGGCTGTTCTCTAAGGTGCTGAAATACTGCGGAGGAGAAAACATCTGTCAGAAAAGGGAACTGCTGCCGAGCGTCCCACATGCTGCCCCCTGGCTGTCCCAGTTCCTAAAGATCAGGAAATGCCCTGCAGATGTCCATAAAGCCTGCCCTTGCATTCTTCCCTGTCGGTGGAGCATGCCTCAGTTTTTAGCCAAACCACAGACACCCCCTTCCGGAGTGCAGAATCAGCAGCCAGAGTCTGTTTCCTTCCCTAATCAGGAGACCCTCTATCAGCAAAAGCCACTGCTGCTCCCGCCCCTTCCCGCCCAGGCAGAAGCTGGGTTTGCAGAAGCCCCCCCACCCCTTGCTGCCCCCCGCCCCACTGGCACAAGCCGGCCGAGAGGCGACTCAGAGCCAACCTGCCCAACTCATGCTTTGCAAGGAACTCCCGAATACCCGCCGTGAAAGAGTCTAAGAACGTACGGTTTACTTACGGGGTCAGATTTGTTAGGCGAGAACAAATAAAAGCCTGGAGAGGGAAAGAATTCAGCAAGAAAATGACAACAGGGCAAGAAGGGGGTTGGCTGCGGCTGGCGGGCCAGCATGTGGAAACCACGCTGGACGGTCACCACTCACACCCCTCGGCTCCCACCTCGTGAGGATGGCGATTTGCAGACCACGTGGAATGGGAACATCGCCTCTCCGCCCTCTCCTGCCCCGGGTGCTGTTCATCCTGGCAAATTCCTAACATTTTAGTGCATCCCTTCCTAGGAGGGCTAACTGAAAAATTTGCAACCTAAGCCAAGGGCTTGGTCTAGCCTAGTTTGGCCCCAAACCTTCCAGCCACACCTCTCTCTCTCTCTCTCTCTCTCTCTACGCACACACACACAAAAGCACTTTTCTTGCAAGAAGTATTCATTTTTTCCTCTGCTCTGCTTTGTGCAAGAGGAGTAAAAGCACTGGGTGGACACATCATGGAAACAAGGCAGCTAGAATTTGAACAACACAGAGGGAGGTCCTTTTAAAATTAGCACTCTGATTTTTGCAGGCGCACAGTGTTTCACACAATCTCTTGGAAGTGGGGGGTTTGTTTCCCTTAAAAATATATTTTTCCACTTCTGCTGCACGGATTGATCTGACCCGTTCACAGAATTGGACGGGGCTTCCGCACCGCGTGCACTTCAGTGCTTCTCCCTCCCACGTTTTCCTGCTGCTTCTTCCATCTTCTCTCTTACCACAGACAATCCATGAAGAAGAAAAGATGAAAGAGCCACACACTGGCTTCTCATGGGTAGCACTCGGAGCCCATCATCTGGAAGCTCCCACAGTGTCCCTGTCTGGACCACGATCCAGCCCAGCACCTTATTGGCACAGCCCGTTCTTGGAAGGAGCAATGTGGGCAAGATTGAAGGAGAAGTCTGCAGCGTCTCCATCAGTGCAGCAGTTCCTCTGCACGGCGCTGGCTCTCTTGCTGAAACAAAGCCGTGGCAGCAAGACCAGGACTACGCGGACACAAGGAGCTCATCGCCACGAAACCTTAAGGGTACGTACCAAGGATGGCAAAGATGACCATGAAGAAAAGCAGGAGGAGGAGAATGTCAATGAACGGAGGAAGCGATTGGAAGATCTGCCGCAGGTTTCTGAAAGAGGCAGGGATCCAGTCATTAACTCAAAGCAATGCCTCCCCCCTTGTGTTTCTTCGCCTGGTCTTCAGGTCCTCTGGGGGTGGGGGAGAGTTATAATCAGGCCGTTGCTGCCTTTTGGGGTGTAGCCACAAGGGCTAAAGCCATCTTGGGAGGAGAACTGTAGTCCTCTCTGTGCAGAGAAATTAACCTCAGCAGTTTCTTGCCCTACCTACTTTAGGATTTTGGGGGATATTACCTGTCCTCTTTCTCTTGTCGGAGTAGACTCCCCCCCCCCCCAGGCAGGTAGCAGAAACAGTTAAGGGTGCAACCCAGCCAGGAATGAGCGTAATCTTCTGAACTTGGGAGGATCCTACGCAGGGCAGAAGCACGAAGGCTAAGGTTGCCTCTGTCCTCCTGGTTTGCAAAGCAGCTGATTTCCGCTGTCGAGCCGCAGTGCTTCAGAAGGGGAAGGCAGGAGGCTGAGGAACTGCCAGGATTCGATGCATCTCAGCACCTGTCCCCAAACCCAGCCAGCGCACTTCTTTCTGCGGTGCCTGGACAGCGCTCTGAACGCAGCGTCCCAGCTCTGAGGTTAGAGCTGTACCTCCGGAACATCCACAGCCCTCTAGACTCTGCATAGGGGGCACAGAATTGCTCCGTAAGAGTCTTGTGGCACCTTAAAAGCAAACACACAGATTCTGGCACAAACATCTGTGGACACAACGCATCTGATCAAGCACCACACGGCTGGAAAAGCTGATGCCAGAATCATTCTGTTCATTTTTGAAGTGCTCCAAGGCAATTTCCTGCTTCAGATTTTTTCTATTTGTTTTGGAAACCACAATACTAGAGGCGGTTTTATGACTCTGCTGTTATTAGCATTTTACTAGTATTCGTGATCTATCCTCTGGTCTTTTTAAAGTACTTGATGGGATGTGAGGTTTTGGTCTTTGTCATGGTTTGCAAATTGAAAATTGCTTTAACGGTGCTGTTGAGAAGTCAGGGCACATGTCCACAAAAATTATCATCCCTTCTTTTATAATGCAGCATTAGAAAAAAGATTTTTTTTATTGTGCTCCCGCCCCCAAAATGTATTTTGCACAGAAGGGCAACTGGGATCAACGCAGCTGCAGAGCCTGGGAAAGGCTTACCTTCGGACGGCCCCGCAGTAGCGGCAGTCCACCAGGAAGATGCATCGCAAGGCTCTCGTGATCCGGACGTGGGACGTCTGGCGCACCAGCACAACAATCGCCTCTGCAAACTGCAGCAACAGGACACAGGTCTGCAAGGAGAGATGGCACAGACGGGGACGGTCAGCTCCATCAAACACAGAAACAGAGCGAGTCAGAAGGGTCCTCCTGGGCCATCTAGTCTGACCCCCGGCTCCAGCCGGCTCCGCTCACGACATGCCCACCATGTGCATGTCCAGCCTATCCTTGGACACCCTCACCAATGGGGCCTCAACCACCTCCCATGGAAGGCGTAGCCTTGTTGACCCTACAGCACAAAAAGTCTGCTAAACTTAACCCTTTGCTTAAAAAGGTACTTTGGCGGCCAGAATACAGTCCAGTGAGGTGGCATAAAGAATCAGGGTGGCCCAAAATGGCTGAGCTTGATGGGATGGTGCATGTTGGAATTGTGCTGGCTAAGCATGGAAAAGGGTGTTTGATGAATGTTCAAAATCCACAGCATTCCTGTGTCAACTTTAGGCCATGGAGTAAGGAATTAACTTTTGCTGACTCATATATATACTGTATATTCATGCATTATATTTCTATCCCACCTTTTTGCTTCTTGCAAGGAAACCAAGACAGCTTACATAAGCTCCCTCCTCTTCTCCATTTTATCCTGAAAACAACCCTGTGAGGGGGGTCAAGGATTGGTCCACACCCTCCCAGTGAGCTTCATGGCTCAATGAGGACTAGAACCTGGATCAGAGTTCGTATCTCTTTTGCTTTGGCTCCCGTTTCTATTCCACAGACCAAAATGAGTTGGGCTACATCAAGGAATAAAGCTACATTTTTTCAGCATTCTGAGCTGTGGTCCCTTCATTCTTTTGGGCAATTCAGGATGTTCTCCAAAGACCAAAAAAGGAAAAACCAACTCCAATGATCAAAAAACCCACTGGTGCACTTTTTAAAATGGAAGGACTAAAAAGCTTGGGAAATGAAAGATATTTTGTCACCTGGAGCTGAAAGGACCACGACATGGGTGCCAGGTTCTTTCAGAAGAGTATTCCAAAAATCAAATTATGTATACATTCTTCCCACCTTTGTCAGATATACATTCAGGAAGCTTTGCCCAGTGTGGTTGCAAGATGAGGCGTGACAAGCTGGGCTGGATTTCTAACCATCACAACTTCAGTGCATGATTCTTTCCAGAAACAGCGGAAAAACATTTAGCAAAATATATGACTCTAAGCAAGTGGGCTTAAATGGCATAACTGATGCCGCTCATGGGTTTCTATTTTCTCCGTGTGGAATTTGGGGTTTCAAGCACTGAGCACAGGAGCTGCAGCTCAAAGGCGCAAGCAGCAGCGATCTAACGCACTGCTGCACCTGGGTCCATGGGCAGCCAACCCTGCTGCTTGCGCACCCCATTCAAACTGGGATTTGCTGTGCATGTTCGTAGCTTCCGCAGACGGGGGCGGGACGGCGGTTTCCTTCATGGTCTGCACATGGGCCTCCTCAAAGCATTCGACTGGCTGCTGTGGAAAAGAAGATGCTAGACGAGGCGGATCCTGGATCTGGTCCAGCTGGTCTCTCTGGATGTGATCAGCTCACATTCTGCCTTTGGAAAAAGGGCCTTCTCTGCACCTCACTTTCAAACAATGCCCTCAACTGATCTTGAAAACAGATATCCTAAATCTCTGGCAAATTTACACTGGTGTATTTGGGGCCAAAGGGCAACCGATTATGACCCATTTCATTCTGGATCATGCCAGCCATTGCCCTAAGAGAAGATTTTTCAGGGGACTTTATAAGAGGGATGTGGCAATGCTCCACACAGCAAAGACAGCGAAGATGCCTTGTTTTGGACCAAGATGAATCAGTTCTGCATAAGAGGATAATGAGCTGTTGCCTAGAAGATAAAGTGTGCAAACATTTTCAAAAATTTGCTTTATCTTGCCAAGGTGAACCCTTAGTGGAGAAGCAGTGGGGTCATCCAGATTGCTAAAATCCGCCCGATACACAGAGCCACTCAGCGTTTTATGGCATTCAATAAGGCTTTGTTCGCACTGAACTATTCGGGGTAGTTTCTTCCTAAAGATTTCTAATGCTTTTGCAAGCCTCTGGAATCCCTTGGGCAGGCCGACACCTCCCTCTTATTTCCCAGTGGCCCATTTTGGCTGCCATCTTGTTGGCACTCCCCAGCTGAGTTTGCTACTAAAAAAAGTGATTTAGTTAAATGGATGAAGCCTTTGCATTGTGGTGCTGGAGGAGACTCTCGAGAGTCCCTTGGACCACAAAGTGATCAAGCCAGTCAATCCTAAAGGAGATCAACCCAGACTGCTCTTTAGAAGGCCAGATACTGAAGGTGAAACTCAAATACTTTGGCCACCTAATGAGAAAGAAGGACTCCCTGGAGAAGAGCCTGATGCTGGGAACAATTGAAGGCAAAAGGAGAAGGGGATGGCAGAGGTTGAGCTGGCTGGGTGGGGTCACTGAAGCAGTCGGCGTGAGCTTAGGTGGACTCCCTGGAATGGTGGAGGACAGGAAGGCCTGGAGGAGTGTTGTCCATGGGGTCGCGATGGGTCAGGCATGACTTTGAGACTAACAACAATAGCAACAACAAATGATTTATATATACAGAAATGATTTAGATAGACATATGATATAATTAACAAAGAGGTCTTATTCCGACATATTAAATTTGGTTCTGCAAGAAGACAGAGAATCAGGCTGCGTTGCTGCCCTTCATCTCTTCCCCAGCATGCACTGCGATTCCCATTTGCAGCATCATTCCAGATGCCCGTTCAAAGCACGATTTCCCAGGTCATCCAAATGGCCAAACGATACTCTGTACTTATCTACACACCAGGACCAAAGCTTGGTGATGTCTGAATGAAAGTAACATCTGGGATGAGCAGGAAATGACAGCACGGGAAGAAACGAGGGGAAAGAATTTGGAGAGAAGTCAGTGGAAAATAAATGATGGAAAGGAAGGTCCCAGTCATTTGCAGGCCAGAAAAGCACAAAACAACAGGAGGCCAAGAATGGAAGGCAAAACCTAAGACTGATAAGTAATCACACGCACCCTTCTGCTCTAAGGATTAACCCCTCACACGCATAGGATAGAAATGATGGCAGATGCAATGCCGAACTCTGATAAGCAAGGTCTGAAGTCCAAGAAAATAACAGCAGCAAGAAAGATGCACAAAGCAAGAGGCACGGAATATCTCACCAACCACTTGAAACTGCCAAACCACAAAGCTCAGACACAACGTTGCACCCACCCAACTCAGCTGCATTTGCTTAGGAGTTCAAAAAAATCATAGTATTGCAGTGCTGGTCTGGGCTGGGATCGCCAAACTGTTTTGGACTCCCAGCTCCATCTGAGAAGCTGCTGTGGACAACCCACAAAATGCCTCATTGATGATTCTGGGGCTATGTTTTGTTCAGCAAAAACTTTGGTGGCATTTCTGCCGGACACCGAGACGTCTCTTTCAAAAGGAATGGTGCAATTCCTGGCAGTGCAACACAGCTAATGTTTCTTTTAAACACGTTTTGGTCCCATCCAGTAGTTTCTTCTTCTGAGAAGGGAGTTATTGCACAGATATATTTTGTCCCGGAAGAGTCTTTGGTGGGAATTAACTAATAGTCGTGCAAATGGCCCTTGGATGACTAAAAGGCTGATACTGCAGCACGGGAAGGATACACACCTGCCTTCCATAATGCAATGGACTGGGGACCTTGCAGCGCTTTCGAGATTCGAATGGGTGGGCACCTTCAAGCTGATGGCCACTTAATTACTGAAACCCATGCACAGCCGCTAGATAGGTGCGTGTATTTTATACTAATCCATGAACGTATTTTTAAAAGGAAAATGAACAAGAAAAAGAGCAAAACCCTTCTGGGATCTCACAGACGCCATGGGGGAGGTGCTGTGGTGTCCCTGTGTGGGACTCCTGGTCTAATTCTTCGGATCCTACCACTGAAGGTTCAAGTAGGCGGAAGGGTCGCCGGGTCACCTTGATCATGGTCCTTTTGTGCCGAATGTACGTGTGGAAGCCCAGCCACCGCATCTTCATTGAGAGCTCGAACAGCACCACCGTCAGCGCAAGCAGCTCCAGAGTTGCGTGGATCTGTAATCAGACGAGGCAGGAAGCAGCAGGATCACTTTCTTCTGCTTTTCTCTCCCCCCCCCCCCCACCAACTTCATAAACATGCAGGGTTTATACAGCAACCCAGAATTCTGTTGCAGTCCGAGCTTCTCTCCCATTCCCAGTCTCCTACCAGCACCAGAAAACATGAGAACAATAGCAAAACGAACCACTCTTTCCAATTTAAAGGCCAACATTGATGGCATCTTTTCATTTAGCACGCAAGGTTTTGCTTTTGATTGCAAAGGGCAGCCGTGATATGTGTGTGTGTGTGCGCACGCGCGCGCGCATTTGTGGGGGGCGTTAATATTTATCAAAATCACAGCAGGTGCAGAGAGTACCAGTTGGCAGGTGCTTATGATACCTTTCTGTTGTTTGCATGCTAAATACAATCTGCCAGCTATGAGTGAAAAGCAATGCGTTCCATGGAACTTTTGCTGGAATCTGGTTTTGGCCCTGCAGTTTTTCCAACAACAGGAGTCTCTTTTTTATTAGAAAAACAGATTCAGGCTGATCAGGTACATCAACTCACAATCCAGGTTTATAATTATTTATAATCAGTGAATAGATACAATGCCTAAACTTAAACAGAAATTAAATTAGGAAATAGACTGTCCTAGTCTATCCAGTCTTGCTAAATTTAAGGACCAATCTGAACAGTACCTTTGCATTTTGGATGTTTTTTGTCATGCAATGAGCAGCCATGGGTTCTGTTCATAAAAATCAGATCACAACAAATGAGAAGGAGAGATTTTTCCTCCTCTGCTGTGATTCTGATAAAGTTGCTCCTCTGAAGTAGTTATTTGCATTGGGAAGAAAGTTTGGAGGGGTGGTTTTCTTCAGGACCAAGCTGGGTTAGAAAGGATTAAGCGCCACAATCTACTGTTGAAATTACAGTAATCATCAGCGGCTGCCAGTTGGAGTCTTTTTTGTGTTGTCTGCTGTTTTTATTGTTCATCTTGCTTACTGATGTTTGAATTTTGGTACTTTTAATACTCTAGCTGATTTAATTATATTTTAACTTGTATTTTTATTCATGCTTTCATTTCATAACTGTTTAAAATTGGAAGCCACCTTTGTTGGAGTCCCAGTATAGGAAACAGGAATAACAACAGTAGCAAGAACAACACTAGTGAGAGTTTTGATCGCCTGGCCCTAAAACTCTCACTGTGCAAAACTGTTTTCTCGACCAAGTCAACCAACCACTTTCTTACTGCACATGAATAAGTTCCCTTAAAATAGATCAAAGCTATGCAAAAGCATCCAAAAGAATGCAGTTCACTCAGACATCAAAGATTCCAGAGCCATCAGTTAGTACAACAGAGTTATAGTTTACTATTTGTGACCCTTTTTATTTACCCAGTATTTTAACAGTTAACTTTTATTCTCAATGTTTATACTGCATTTCTCTTGTACTGCTGCTACACCTCTGGACCAATTTGATTGTGGCTGCAGTGGGCCTACCGTCACCGTTTTATTGGGGATATTGCTTTATTGCTTCTTATGCACTGTTCTTGATTTTGCTAAGTGTTCTTTTTAACTTTGCAAACCTCCCAGAGAGACTTTCGGCAAGCGGGTAGTATAGAAACGACATACATAAATAATAAATACTCAGCCAAGAAATGATCGGTCAAAATTTTGCTCCCGGTTCAGCTATTTTGGTCGGACACCCATGGAACCATTTCTCACACAGAGCTTTCCATCTGGCATTGAAGACCCCATAACGGGAAGGAGTTTCCCTTTCTCCCAACCCGCAGACAGCACCGCGGCGCCCCTGGACCGAAGGCCGGCCGGCGACAGCGCTAGTCGGAGCGCTCGTCGCGCAGCTGCGTTTCGGTGCCCTGCCCTCCCGCCGAAGCCATGCCGCCGCCCGTCCTCGAGAGACTTACGTAGATGCCGAGCCGGAGCATGGGGACCGCGGGCGCCTCACAGAGCGAGAGCAGCAGGAGCAGCAGCGCGGTGCTCAGCTCCATCAGGTAGAAGAGGTGGTTGTGCACAAAGAGGTAGGCGGCCAGCGCTTTGGCATCCTTGGGATGCGTGAAGAACTTATCATTGTTTTCTCCTTCCTAATGTAGGATTTGAAAACAGCAGCAACACAAAACCATGAAGGCACACAGGTTGAAGGCCAGGGTTCTAATGAATGGCTCTCTCTAGGGAGAAGCAGCATGTACTGTATGGGCTCACCTGGAAGAAGCTGCTAAGGTTTGACAGGTAGGGTAGCAAATTTCCCCAGTGTCCAAAAGCCCTGAAGACACACAAGGCATTCAGCTTATTCGGAAGAGCGTAACAATACCGTATGTCGCCTGTATGTTGCCGACATATAGGTATGTGAGAGGGTGTCACACGGAGGTGGGTAGAGGCCTGTTCTCCCATGCAGAGGAAGGCAGGACGTGCTCCAATGGAGCAAAGCTCAGGGAGCCAAGGTTCCATTTGGATGCCAGGAAGCACTTCCTGACAGTCAGGACCCCGAGGGTGTGGAATGGGCTTCCACGGGAGGTGGTTGAGGCCCCATCGGTGCGGGTGTTCAAGGATAGGCTGGACGTCCACATGGTGGGCATGTCGTGAGCGGAGCCGGCTGGAGCTGGGGGTCAGACTAGATGGCCCGGGGGTCCCTTCTGACTCGCTCTGTTTCTATGTTTAAAACTGCCTCCTCCAATGATTCTGTAGAGAAGGGCTGCTTTTGCTGGGAGAACAAAATTGCTTGCCTTACTGAAAGAGTTTCACAGTCCACCCTGCTTCCCAGGATGCCAGGCTGGAGCCTGAGTGCATATTGGCAGACTCTGAAAGGGCAGCAGAGAATTTTATAAAATTCATTATGAGAGGCACTGTCTTTTGTTCTTGGCCTGGGGAGTTGAATTGACACTTGCCCAGGGAGCAACCCTGGTCCTATGCAGGGGACCAGTAAAGCCACAGATAAAGCAGAGTGAAAGTTTTCGGATTGTTTACATTCCGTATTCAAATTTCATCATTCTGTCCAATAAACTGTATACAATTTAGGACACAAGTGGTTTTGTTTTTTCCCAAGTATTCTTAAATCCAGAGTGAGGTGCCTTGGGCTGGACCCAGCACTTTGGGGTGGAAGATACTGAGAGTCATCTTGGAGGGAAGAAAATGTGTGGTTTCTAACACATCAATTAAAAGAGCCTTATTCTTTTCTTATAAGAAAACAAGCAAAATGTTATTTGCATAGAAAGAAAGAAAAGTGGGAAAAGCAGCCAACTCCTGGCTTTCTTCTACCACTGGATCTGTAGCTAAATTTCTATTAATAGCCTCCAGTTATCAGCCATATCTGGGACTTTAAAGCTGTGGGAAACTTATTCATCTTACACCATGATCTATTAAGAATTCTATATTCCAGTAACAAATGCGGCTAAAGGAAAATAGCAGGTTTGTTTAGGATCACAAGGTGTAAGCTTGAGATTTAGTTTGCCAGCTTCAACCCCGAGTGTTTGGCATTCCCCAGCCCTTCCTCTTCCAGTTTGTTCCTGTAATGGCAATACAAGGGCCCACCTGGAGGTAGATGGCCGCCTCCTGGTAGTTCATTTCCCAGGTGTGTCTTCCACAGTCCCGCTGAGGGTAGCCGTCGCCGGAGGCTGGACTGGGGATATCCCTGATCGCATCATAGTTGCCTCCATCTGCGTTGAAGGGAAAGGATGCCACAGTTTATTACATTTTAATAATAAATGTTATCATTTTTGCTTGTTATTTCTCTTCCAGGCTGCCCACAGGCTGTTTGCTAGAGGCAGCTTAAAAATAGCATAAAATGAATATATACACATAGAGAGAGTTTTGATCATCCATTTTGTAGTTTTTTACCAAATTTTGCACTTACTTGCTTCCTTCCTATAATTTGCCACCATTTCCCCCCTCCATCTATTGTCCTACGTAGGACATAGTTACGCGAAGCACTGAAGGACAACGACCTCCTTTGCTCAGCCTTTCCCAAGTTTTTTGAGTTGATGGACACATATGCCCTTGTGGAAAGTGTCGCAGGGGCTCTCACAAAATGGCGGCCCTGGGGGTTGTCTGCCCATTCAGAGCGGCTGTCACCGTGGGCAAGAAAGCAAACTGTTGTGAGCAGAAGAAAAGTGAAGTGCCCAAGAAGCGAACTGGTGAGATCTGATCGATTTGAAGCCAAATGGGTCTTGGAGGGGAACACGTCTCTTTGCAGCATGCCAGGAGCCTCGTTTGGAAACGAAGCCGCTTCGATGTTAAGCAATACCAATAAAATAAAAATTGGAGTGGCCCAGAGCCTGCTGGGGGCCAAGGGGGTGTCTTCAGGCATGTCGGTGTCACCCAGCGGAGCGAGAGTTGCGGCCTTTGTCCCGCAAGAGAGCCGGGGGCAGAACCCTGGGGCTTGCAGCCTTTGCCGATCAGCATCCACCCCGGGGCTCCCGGCAGCATCCGGCAGCTCCTCTAGAGAACCACACATCCTAGAGGTAAGCGACCCTGCAACTCACAAGAGGAAGCAAATGTTTCGGGGATCCTAGGTTAACTGGGCACAGGCGCTGCGGTGACCTGGCCCAGGTTCCCATCCATTTCTGAACACAACCCAAGTGTGATGGCTTACCTTTACAGCTAAACAGCAGGTGTGGGCGACCTCAGGCCCGGGGGCCAAATTTGGCCCTCCAAGGCTCTGCAGAGGGCTGTACTCCTCCCCACCCCGCCATTCCCAGCTTATGTGCTGTCTGCTTTCCCATTCTAAAAGACTGAGATGTCTCTCCTAAGGCAATAAGGACTTGCAGCTAACACAGACAGGTACTTCTGGCCGCATCCCTTTCGCCCTTGGCCCTCCCCCACTGCCTCTTGTCCCATATGATACCTGGCATGGCGTCTCTGGGAATTTGGCTTTTAGGTGGAAGGACTTGACTCACCTGCCGGACAGGTCTTGGGGTGCGGTTCCCCGATGGATCACTGGCCTTCCTGTCCACCTGCCATGCCAGGCCATCAAGGCCAAAGGAGAGCCTGCCTGATATAGGGGTGAGAGTGGCCTGGGAAAATGTTCCTTCGGCACTTTGGCCCCCTTTTCAGGACTCTCATCCTAACCTACCCCACAGGGTTTTTGTGATGCTGAAACAGGGAGGTGGACCATGTCACCCAGCCAGGACTCCTTGCAGGAGAAAAGGCCGGGTTTAAATGCAATAAAAGCATAAGAACAAAGGCCCTTCTCCAGGCAGTGCATCCATTTGAGAACAAACAGCTTCCAGGTGAAGAAGAGGCTGGGGCCCCATTCGAAGAACGCTCTTGCAGGAAGCTTTGCCTTTATCTCATGCTTATTTATTTATTTTGTTTATTAGAACATTTCTATGCCGCCCCTTGCCGAATGCTTGTGCTGATGCTTTATTAAATGTTGATTCCATTTGTAATTTTTCTAAATTGCTCTGATGATGGCATGCCAAAGGTCAGTATACAAATCTGATCAATAAAATGAAGATAAAAATAGTTTCCAGAGTCATTTGCTGAGTTTATGGTAAACAAGACTGACGTGGTACTGCACTGTGCTCAGTCTGGAACCCTGGATATTCCATCAAGAGTTCGGTATAATAATGCTGTTCAGTTCTTCTTATTTGCCATTTAAAGTATTTGTATCAAAACCCTTCAATTACATCTGCCCTTTGATTATATTCCCACGGGGGTTAACAGTAAAGTACAAATCTGGAAAGCAAAATAAAAGAAACACTCACAAGAAGTACAAAGCAATCTGGAAGAAGCACCGTTTTCCAATACATCCCAAGGTCAAGTCTTGCTTGCAATCTCTGCCAGCAAATTGCCCCGTTAATACCAGTATGAGGAACAGGTGCAAATAGAGTCCAGAGGACCCTTTCCGGCTCAAGCTAGGAATTCAAATGCTGCCATATTCATATCATAAGTTCCACTAGGAATTTGATGGCAATTACATTAAATGGATTTCTTTGCCTGCTAGGTTTGTGCTCAAAGGCCCAGCCAACAGCCAGCGGCGCTTCAGGACCATGGGCCAATTTGGAACACTACAAAAGAAGGCCCTTCAGATGCCAGTGTTTGATGTATCTGGTTTCTGATTTTTCAGAAACATTGGCTAAACTTTACAGAAGTCCAAGTGCATAAAATACTACCCCAAAGTAGGGGAGAATTACTACCACTGCGGTTGTTGTGTTCTTGTGGATATTGTTACAATTAATAATAGACACTAGACATGTTAACCATTTTCTCACGCTCATAGCATTGCCTAGTTGGCCCTGAAAGGGCTTCTGATGGAAACATAACCAGCTCTCTTTCCTACAAGTGGAGAAGAAGATTGCAAAACAATGCATCTGGAAGGAGTTTTTGGACCTTCACGGTTTCAGAATGGCACTCACACATTCATTCATAGCCAACTATAATATCCGTCCTGGGAATGCCACGATTACGGAGGAGCCAACATGACGAGCTGACCAAGAAAAATAAAGTTTGCAGCACACTGGAAGAAGCTGCAGCAGGGACGGCCCACCGCACAGATGGTAACGCTGCCTTTGCACTGGCGTGACTCGTCCCACGAGTTCCATCCCCGCCAGCTGCCCTGCTTACACAAGGCCTGTGGAATGGGAGTTCAGGGACGCAGGCAACCCCATTCACTGGAGTGCTGGAAGCTGTTCTGGCAGGCCTCTGAATAGGGATGACTTCCAGATGCCGTCACAAAGAGGAGGCGGGGGGAGGGAGGGTTTGCTAACTTCTAATATTCAGTTGGCTGACAGGCTGGGCAGGCCCATGTCTTTGAGATGCAAGGGAACGCCAGGCACTCAATGGAGATCTCGGTGCTAGACACGCGCAAGCGGCCAATCTGCGGACAAAAGCCGGAGACGGGATGGAGAGCGAAGAGCGGCGCTGAAGGACGGAGACGGATTACTGTGCCACCTGGGATTACGTCAGGGCGAGTCGCAGCAGAGAACTTTCTCATCTTCCAAGAGGCCTTCGCTCAGGACTTCGAGGCACCTCTTTCCTTTCGGGTGCCTCACCCTTTATTAACAGATCAAAACTGTAATTATTTCGCCTTGACCTTCACAATTTGCACAGAACTGCAGGCCTTCCCAACAGCACTGCATTCATTTCTACTCCCTGGCACCTGATGGCATCCAATGGCGCTTTCTGTCCACGGTTTTACCATGCCCTGGTACTCACTGCAACAGGCTTTTTGTAGTTATTTTCATTTGCTTTACATTCTTGTGTTAAAAATTTTAATACTGTGTCATTATTAACGTGCATCTCTAAATGGCAGTATTTTTGAACAGGGAGCTTTTGCTGTTGGGTGGTGGAAAATTGGAACAAACTTATGTCCACAGGTTAATCCGCCACAAACAGCAATCTTCAGTTTAGCTGCTAAGCAGCCCTTTGAGCTCAGCTTCCCTCCACTTGAACCCACAGTGTGTCTACGTGAATCATTTGTCTTTTATCTCATGTAATTAATACATATAGATGTGTTTATACAACAGTTCTGCACTAGAATTCATGCACTGCTTTCCACCAACCAGCCAAGAGTAATTATGATGTCAATTTTTGGTTCTTGCAAGTTCAATAAAATGTCCCTGCTTTCGAAGAGACCCCTCTGCATGCGTAACTCAGTTCACACATAAATGTGGTGGACCATGGGTTAACTAATCCAAGGTTCAATTTGGATGCCAGGAAGGACAGAACCAAAAGGGTATGGAATGGGACATGGTTAAAGCCCCATCGCTGAGGGTATTCAAGGCTAGGCTGGACATGCACATGGTGGGCATGTCATGAGCGGAGCTGGCTGGAGCCGGGGGTCAGACTAGATGGCCTAGAAGACCCCTTCTGACACGCTCTGTTTCTGTGTTTCTATGCACGTGTCATGTGGGCACGTTCAGTCTCTGATCAGGACAATTAGTGGTTGCAGCATGATGTCCAAACCTAGACAATGATAGGTTACTTGTGGCTTAAGCAACCCAAGGACAAGCTACAGTTCGTAGCATATTTGGTTGAATGGTAGCGACTGGTTAGTAGCAACAGGTTGAATATGTGCCATAGAAAATCATGGACTAATTAACCTACAATCCGCCACAGTCACACGCAAACAAGACCATGGAGTCACCTCTGCCAAGGCACACTATTATCAACCTTCAAGGTTCCTTGGAGGGGGATATCACGGAATGTGTGACTGCGTATACTTCTGTCCAGACAGGATAATTCTTAACAACTGTCTAGACTGCAGCAGCTTTCCAGAATCTGCCCCAATAACCTGCTACTTTATACTTGTAAGAGAAGTTTTTATTTTATGGTTACAGACCAGGAAGTACTTTGTACTTTTACCCGGAGATCTTAGAAATGGCACTTAGAGATCACAGCGCTTGTGCTCTGTCCTCAAGCTACAGAAAACCCGACAAAAAAGTAATAGTTTTAAAAACAAACTCCAGCATACAGAGGAAAATATATATCTAAAATCTGGCAGCCAGAGCAAACAGAAATTCTTGAAACTGGTGCAGAAATAATTACAAGGCAGGGAGAGGCAAGATCCTGCCAATTAAAGTGTACTACAGTCCAGTATAGCCATTCCCCACCCAGTATTAAAAGGGTAAGCATGGGCGGGTCTCTCCAAAACATCACGCTGCAGTAGAGACAATGTTCTGAGTACAGCACTCCTGCGAGGCTTCAGCTGGCAGAA